GCCAGTTTTGACCCCGGGGCTTTTATTTAAACAAACTTTGTAGACACTTATTAGAAGATGTTTCAAGCTTAATATCTAACTCTAGCTATTTGGGTTTTTTCAAAGAAGACTTTTTAAGTTTTTACTATATGCATATATAGGGAAAATCAAGACCCCCCGGGGCGGGGCCAATTTTGACCACAGGACTATTATTTGAACAAACTTTGTAAACACTCTCTAGAAGATGTTTCATGCTTAATATCTAAACTCTAGCTATTTGGGTTTTTTCAAAGAAGATTATTTAAGTTTTTGCTATACACATATAAGGAAAATCAATGACCCCCTGGGCGGGGCCAATTTTGACCCCAGGGCTTTTATTTGAACAAACTAAGTAGACACACATTAGAAGATGTTTCCTGCTGAATATCTTAGCTCTAGCTCTTTGAGTCCTTTCAAAGAAGATTTTGTAAGATTTTACTATATGCATATAGGGAAAATCAATGACCCCCCTGGGGCGGGGCCATTTTTGACCCCAGGGCTTTTATTTGAACAAACTTGGTACACACTCATTAGAAGATGTTTCATGCTGAATATCTTAGCTCTAGCTCTTTGGGTTCTTTAAAAGAAGAATTTTTAAGTTTTTACTATATGCATATAGGGAAAATCAATGACCCCCTGGGGCGGGGCCAATTTTGACCCCAGGGCTTTTATTTGAACAAACTTGGTACACACTCATTAGAAAATGTTTCATGCTTAATATCTTAGCTCTAGCTCTTTCGGTTCTTTAAAAGAAGAATTTTTAAGTTTTTACTATATGCATATAGGGAAAATCAATGACCCCCTGGGGCAGGGCCAATTTTGACCCCAGGGCTTTTATTTGAACAAACTTGGTACATTCTCATTAGAAAATGTTTCATGCTGAATATCTTAGCTCTAGCTCTTTGGGTTCTTTAAAAGAAGAATTTTTAAGTTTTTACTATATGCATATAGGGAAAATCAATGACCCCCTGGGGCGGGGCCAATTTTGACCCCAGGGCTTTTATTTGAACAAACTTGGTAAACACTCATTAGAAGATGTTTCATGCTGAATATCTTAGCTCTAGCTCTTTGGGTTCTTTAAAAGAAGAATTTTTAAGTTTTTACTATATGCATATAGGGAAAATCAATGACCCCCTGGGGCGGGGCCAATTTTGACCCCAGGGATTTTCTTTTAACAAACTTGGTAGACACTCACTAGAAGATGTTCCATGCCAAATATCTAAGCTCTAGCTCTTAGGGTTTTTTAAAAGAAGATATTTAAAGTTTTTTCTTTCGGTTGCCATGGCAACCAGAGTTCTGCATGGAATTAAATTCTTTGAACAATTTTTAAAGGTGACCACCAAAGGAACATTCCTGTAAAGTTTGGATGAAATTGGCTTAGTGGTTTATGAGGAGATGTCATTTAAAGTAAAAGTTTACGGACGGACGGACGGACGGACGACGGACGGACGACGGACGGACGGACGCCGGACGAAAAGCGATCACAAAAGCTCACCCTGTCACTTTGTGACAGGTGAGCTAAAAATAAGGGGCGATCACTGTGTAAAGATTGTCAAATGACGGCAGCATTAATTTTCAAGCCTTCTCGGGAAAAGAAAAGGTAGTTCCGATTGGTCAAAGATTTCAAATATTGTGTAATTCTTTACAGACATACATGTAATATTAAGCTCCATGATTATTTACATCAGTGTCAAACGAAATTAATAAGGGTTACAAACCCTAATTTAGAATGATATGGTTTTCTTCAGGCTGTTATCTTATAACTTCCCCGTGGTCGAGGGGTTACATGCTCGTTTATGAAGAGAGATGTCCTGAGTTCAAATCCAAGTTAAGGCAACTCCTGTTTTTTTTTGGGGGGGGGGGGGGGGGGGGGGGTTTGGGTTTTTTTTTTAATTGTTTAAGCCAAATAAACAATGAATTACATATCAGTGTTGCACTAAGCCTTCTAGCCAATTTACTACAGCTTACAATCTCACAGCCTTCACCTTTCTGACATTCTGAGACCCAAACAAATTCAGCGCCTTCTATGATTTGATTTAATTAAACATGACTATGATATTGCAAAATTGTACCTAATGACTTGCTTATTATTAACAAAATATAAATATATGTAAATTGTTATCAAGTATAATGATACTTTCCAGCGATTTAGGTCATGTCCTTGTTTAATTTTCAGGATGAAGCAAAAAGACATACCACTTAAACTAAAAGAAATAAAAAAAAAACAACAATAAAGAACAATAAACAGAGCATTATATAACAACATTTTTTTCTATAGAGCGCAACTACCTGATTCTTTGAAGGTCGAAGTGTTTAACATACCCTAGGTGATTTTAAATACATGTAGGACAATTACATGGAGGTTGTAAATGTTAAGCGTGATCTCTTGAAATATAGTGCACAAATACATATAAACATTAAAAGTAAGCACTATGATACATTGCAAAACAGGTCCCTGGGTTCTCGTTTAGATTAATAAAATGTATAACTGTGAAAAAAATCACTCACATTATAAATGAAATTAAATTTTAATATATTTTATTTTAGAATTATTACATAGACAGAAATTGTGTGTGTACCGTATCTTTTGAAATAACAGTGTGTTCCGTATCATTTCAACATAACTTTATGAAAATATGCTAAATCATCACTGCGTTCACTCGATACATTGGACATAGTTTAATATATCAGATTTAACATGTATTTTTCTATTAAAAAGTGTCAAAAAACATATGATTGCTAGAAATTGCTTGTTATGACAAATGAGTGTGTACCGTTCCCTCGGCCAGGCTATGAAAAGAAAACTGTACTCGAATGTTCTCAAAAACCATTCAGGGGTTTTCAGAATTTTGATATACCGTGGATAGCTGATATAATTACGGGTACTCTGCGCCTTATCTGATCAAAATCGGTTGAGTAATAAATAAGTTATGAATAAAAAACATACCTGAATCGGGTGAAAAATCGGCGTGTTCCGTACCCGAAAAGTCACGTGGTATGGCCACATTGCTAAGTAGTAAAATGGTCAGACACGTGGTAAAAAAGGGTGGGGTAGGGTAACATTTTTATACAGATTTCATAAATTTTAAGTAGAAACCATAATTTTGCTTATGTGGATTGTTAGCTAAATGGTACTATTTGTTTCTTGCCAAAAATTAATGGGAAAACATTTTTCATTAGAATGTTATTGCAGATTATTTAAAGGTTCCTCATTTCTAAAAAAAAAAAAGGCCTTCATAACATCCTAGCTCGAGTACAGAAAAGTGGCCATAACTTGATTTCCGTACGGTAAACTTTGTTTAAATTTTGCATACATGTGTACTTTAAGGTATACATCTGACCTATGATGTCAATTTTTTAGTTCCTGATAGTGCCCATTAGGGTCCTTATACCTTAAATTGGATCGTTTGTAAAAAATGTTTGGCAATTTTGGAAAAGAGTCACTTATTAAACAGAAGTCAAATATCATCTATTTGTGTGATTTTTATAGAGAGAGCCAGTGCAAAAAAAAATAATGAAAGTTGCAACAACTATGTAAAATGCAGTGTTTTATAAAAAAAGGAAGTGGCTAGCCAAAAGTTCTAGCCGTACGTGAGTCACGTACGACTAGCCTGGATACACTGTATTGGCTAGCCGTTCGGCACTTTTCAAAAATATATGGAAGTCGAAAATGCATATGTTATTTTGTGTCTTTAAACAACGATTTTAATTAAACTAGTTTGTTCACTTTAGTAAAGATGCTCCGCAATTTTGCACACAAAAAAAATGAATATGAGTAAGCGTTCACGGTTGTATAATCTATCTTGTCAAAGTTGCATGTTATAACGTCCTTAATTTCCATGCTTATTATTTGTATGAAAGATGGATTGTTAAATCTGTTAATTAAGCACATGGATCGAATAACTAATGATCGGAGGGGAATAAATAAATAAATTAAAAGAATATTAGAAAAAAAGGTGAAAAGGAAAAATAATTTAATAATGCAAACTTTCCTTAATGATGGACGATGGACAAACTTCTACATACCGAGGTAATTGACGCATTTATCAGAGCCCAACAACAATTATTTTCGGTGTTTTTTTTTTTTTTTTTTTTTGTTTTTTCAAATTAAAATTAAACTTAATCTGGGACATACGATAAGTATATCGTATATCCCAGACTTAATGAAACAAAAAAGGATTTTATTAAATTTTGTAAACTATTTCAATTGTTGTTATTTAACTGCAAACCAAACCTATTTTTTTGAGATGACAAAGTACATTCTTTACTGTAGTCAACGCGTCGATTAATCTCTAAAAAGTAGACATTCTTGACTAAAATCCTCGCTTTAAGTCATAATTAACATATGCACTTTCGCCTTCCATATATTTTTGAAAAGTGCCGTACGGCTAGCCAATAAAGTGTGTCCTGGCTAGTCGTACGTGACTCACGTACGGCTAGAACTTTTGGCTAGGCCATCCTTAAAAAAATGTTTGTTTGCAGTAACCCGACCCAAAATTTTCAAGGTGGGTAGGTAGGTCGATTTTTTTTTTTTTTTTTTTATTGAACTGTACTCCCAAATAAACATGGAATTTCAAAATGCTGGACAATATTTGCTTTGATAATCTGGTAACAATTAATAAATTGATAACTGATTCTAATTTAATAAGCACTACATTTCATTTCTTCTTTTAAGCTTTAAAAGAACGAAAACAAAACACTTAGGCATAATTTTCTGATTCAAAAAAAAATTATTTTTATCCAGACCATGAAAAAACATTTGAGTAGGGGCAAATTTTGTGAGTAGGTTGCGTTACTGCAAACGAACATTTTTTTAATGATGGCCCTACTGTAGCCACTTCCTAAAAAAATCGTTTATTTCCGTGAGAATACCTTTATTAAATTATAAGGTTGAGTGTCACTGTAACAATATACCAGACGTAGTCATTGACAAATTACAGCACTAATTGAAACTAAATCTATAAGTATTAAACCTTTGTTACCTGATAATCTAGTGAAACAAGTTCTTAAAACTTTTCAGTGCAAATGACGATCATAAATCAAAGGGGAGTAACTACGCAGTGATCTTCCCTTATCAGTACAGAAGGTCATTCGCTAGGTAAGAGGACACTAAATCCGTCTATATTTAATTAGAGTGTTTTTATATTTTTGCTTATAAACGCTTTTAGAGCTTAAGTTGCACTGTTATAAAATTGCCAACATTAAATAAAATTTATCTTATACAGTGTAGCAATAGGAAGTTGCTTGACGTACGGGACGGGCCCATAAGGCTATCCAAAATCTCCAGCCATACATGAGTCACACCATGGCTAGCCAGGACATATACTGTATTGTCTAGCATCACAATGCCATAGCAATGAACAACATTGAATAAACATTCATTTTATCATAAGGTAAAGATTAAATTGTGTGACTGGAAAACGCCTATTGTTCTTTAAAGAAATCAATTGACATACAGCTATCTTAAATAAGAGAATTACATACAATACTAGTATAACTATGTCAGAGTTTAACATAATATTTTAAATGTTACTTATTTGTATTATCTGAGGCTGACTCATTAATATTTGTTGGCATATTTTGGCATATAATTAAAATACTGATTTACAAAAGAAAGTGTGTTGCAAAATAAGTTACAAAACATTGATATTATATGATAAGAGTGAAAGATGAAGAAAGGGATTTCATTTAAATTTGTATTCCCTTTAATATTCATAACTGGTGTTTAAGAACACCAAACATAGACAATCATTTTCAACTAACGTTAATTTTTATGAAATGTTTCTGGTTGTTAGAGACGGACAATCTCACACAACAGATCATTTATCAAAAGTTATAAGTAATAAAACAATCAAATAGCAGTAAACAAATATATATTTTGAATATATAATTATATATATTATGGCCATATATAAAAAAAATTCAATTCTCATTTAAATATGTATTTTATCAAATATATCTTGTGTTCAATGATGATTGAGAATTTGAGATTTATACTTTTTCAATGAAATGTTTCAGTTTGCTAGATACTGACATAGTGTTATAATGTGTGAGCATAATAAATGTCTATATAATAATTATTTTTTGAGAAATTACCATGAAAGCCAAGAATCAAAGTATCAATCACCGTGTACATCACAATTTTTTTTTGTAATTTACACCAGAGACATTAAAATACATTATGTACTTATATATATGTCTCTGTTTACACCATTAATAGTTGAAAATTATATTCTCCGTTATAATATTGATAAGCTATCTAGCTTAACAAAATCATTTTTTATTGTTTGAAATTTCTTGTATTTGAATATGACGGTTCCCTGTAGGTTTTGAATTGTTGGTGAATCCTTAAATTTTTGTTCATCATTGTTAAGTGATTATGTAAACAAGAGTCACCGCCGGGCGTAGGCAATTATACTGTTCGACTTTTTACTTTTTCTAAAAGCGAACAAAGAAATGTTTGAACAAATCTTTAACATTTCCTTTTTATAAATTTCATCGGTCTGTCTTGTCACACTAGTTTTGTCTATATATTTTGAATATATGCATTTACATTATACGCATTTTTATATATAAATGCTTATAATATAAATTTATATATATTCACAATAGAAAAAATATAATTTTAGTAATAGAATTTATGCTTTCGATGGTATATTGTATAAGATCAGTTTTATTTCATGTCGGCAATTTTACAACAGTACAACATAAGCTCTAAAGCGTTTATAAGCAAAAATATTTTAATTGAACTATAGGCGGATTTAGTGTCCTCGTACCTAGCGAATGACCTTCTGTACTGATAAGGGAAGATCACTGCGTCGTTACTCCCCTTTGATTTATGATCGTCATTTGCACTGAAAAGTTTTAAGAACTTGTTTCACTAGATTATCAGGTAACAAAGGTTTAATACTTATAGATTTAGTTTTATTTAATGCTGTAATTTGTCCATGACTACGTCTGGTACATTGTTACAGTGACACGCAACCTTATTTAATAAAGGTATTCTCACGAAAAGTAAACGATTTTTTTATAAAACACTTCTTTTTAGTTTTTACATGGTTATTGTTGGCATGCAACGTTTATTATTTTTGCACTGGCTCTCTCTCCCTCTCTCTCCTCACTGCGTACAGTAGGGGAAGGCTTTTTATCTTTTACAGATATCAGGTAAGTAAGTAATTATATTTACTTCGTCTCAAATAAGTAATCTATTATTAACTTGGGCTCAATTCATATGTAAATAAGGCACCATCTCAAAGCTCTTAAGTAATTATTGTAGGCCAGCCCGGGGTTCTATGATATCACGGTACTTGACGTTTATTAGAAAATATTTCAATATAAAAATCACACACAGACATGGATGAAATTTGTGTTCTGTTTAATAAGTGACTCTTTTCTAAAACTGCCAAACATTTATTACAAAAGATCCAATTTAAATGTTAGTTTATAAACTATTTAATAAAAGGTATGCTAGTGGCAAAGGTAAAACAAATAAGGTACATAAATGATTATGTCAAATGTGGTTGCTAGCTTTGACTCTAAACTGGGACAGAAAGATACATAACTCTGAAGATTCTTCAGGTAAACTTCTTCAACCAAAAGAACTAAAAAAGTTTGTTTTTCTGGTGTTCACTTTATGGGCTCAATATGACTTTCAGTCATGCAATCACTGGAAACATCTAAAGAACTGTTTCAAAGAGAGGACACATGATGTCTTCATCTGTCCATGTCATAGCACTGAAATACTGAG